AATATGATAGTAGATGTATTCTTCAACCTCTAATGCATGAATATGTTTCTCTACCCTCTAAATCCAATGCTATATAATACATAATGCCAAAAGAAAACAACGCTGCGCTTAAGTGGAATTTGAGTTATCAGCACAAGAGAAAGCAGCAGAGCCACCTGAAGCCTTGTACGAGTCGATGATACCAACGATAGATCCATAAGTACCGCCGATCATGAGGAAAGTACCCGAGACAATAACAAAAACGCTGAAAGCAACCATGAGGTACCACTTCATGTTAGGGTCACGCTTGCCCTTGGCCCAGTTGTCATACAGCCACATGAAGCCGTACAGCTGGAACGACATAAGCGTACCGAGCAGGGCACCAACAAGAGAGACGAGACCACCGAAGACGGGAATACCGGAGGCAATCAGATAGGCGATCACGGTGGTGATGATGGTGCAGGCGAGCCAAGTTCCCCAGTGGATAGCGCTGTTGGAAGAGAGATGCTTTGTTCCTCGGAGGAGACGGACGAAGACGTATTTAGCGGCGAAGTGAATGACGAGGACGGTTGTTGCGAGAAGACCGGGGAGGGAGATGCCGTAGGCGACGCGCTTGATGAGATGGCCGGCGGAACCGAGGGCTGGTGAGGCGACGTATGAGCCGCAGTAGAGGTAAACGACGCAGCCGATGACGATGTAAGTGATGGTGACACCTGCTTGGCAGATGAGGAGGGATCGAGTATAATGCTCAGGACGCTTCATCTCAGCAGCGATGGCACTTTGAAAGTTAGCTTGCTAAATCACATATTGCAGTTGAGATAAACTTACAAGAATCCGGGAGTTCCAGCATAGGCAAAGATGAGAGATGAGATGGAAGAGATGGCCTCAGTGAAACTGGGGTTTCCAACAACCTTCCAGTCAGACTTCCAGTGACCCTCCTGGGGAGCAGCTGCAGGACGATCCTGAACACCAACGGCAATAGTGACGGTGAAAATGGCAGTCATGATGCAAACGAGGCCGACCCAGGCAAGCATGCTGATGCGGCCGAGGGTGCGAACACTGGCCAGCAGGAATCCGCAGATAGCAGCGACAGCGACGAAGACAGCAGTGCAAGTACCGTGAAGAGAGACGGCGTTGAGACCGATTGAGATACCGAGCATACCAGAGCCCGCAACGAAGATCCAGACTGAGCTGTTAGCTGATGTCGTGATGGTATAAGAGGGGAGTACATACAGAGGCAGAATGCAATACCGAAGATCTCGCGTCCGACGCGGCCGAAGATCAGAAAGCCTGCATCATCGATACCGTAGATTTGAGGATGGTTGCGCTTAAAAACACCGATCATGTAGTCGGACCAGGTTGTGATGGCGGCGATGACGATGAGGCAGATGATGCCGGGGAGGATACCGAGGACGTCGAAGACAGCTGGGATGGACAGAACGCCGAGACCGACCTGGGTCTTCATCATGAGAGCGACGGTGCCGATCCAGCCGACCTAGGGATGTTAGTTGAATTGAAGATTTTCATGGTGTTGGTGTGACGTACAGCGCGGTAGTTGGGGCCTTCATCGGTGATATCACCAAAGACATCATCGTGGACTTGGGCTTCACCAGCGATGGAAGGGGTGTTGTTCAAAGCTGGCTGATCATTCTCGTAATCATGCTTGAGGTCCTTCTCAGCAGGACCGCTAGAGTATTGCGACATGTTGAAGGAGCAAAGCTAATTGACCAACAAACAACTTAAAAGATTGAAGAGAGGGAGGGATAGTAGGCGAAGGAGGAAGAGAGAGTGGAATGTGGAGGAGATGAAGCAACAAAGTCTGGGGATTGTGGACACAACTTATACAAGCTCCTCCCAAGCTCAGACAAGTTGAAGTCGATCCTATACAGCAAGTCTAGCTGATAAAGTTGGTCTTTGCCCCCCTAGTCGATCCCCGTGGTGATTTACCCAAGAGAGGCTAGTGAGTGATACGAGTGATACGCTGAGGAAAAAAACCTGGCAGGCAATTCGGTGTTGGCGAGGCTTATCTGGGTGTGTGGAGTAAGTCCCCCTCAGACAACTCTCCTCTGGCGCTGGAGTGCACCTCTTGGCTACTCCATGTCCCCATGGGGTTCCCCGTACATACCAGACCAAAATTCGCGGAGAAAGAGGGTCTCAGTACGATTGACGAGCCAGAGCAGAAAATCGCCATTGTCTAGACTGTCAGTTGAGAATTGTCATCACGTAAAAGAAAACAAGGCACTTTCGCCAGAAATTGAAGCTATGACGTTGGAAGTTCCACTGGGAATAGCGAGTCAGGCGTTGCTCCGCGGTGCATTGCTCCCCATAATTCGAAGCGGCAGAGCCCCATTGGCTGAGGCGTCAGTTTCTATTACCCCATTGCTCCGCAGTCGGGAGCTGATCCGGTCTCCAAAATATCCACAACCCCAATTTTCCACGCTCCATCAGACACGAGAGCTTCATTATTATTGTGGAATTCGTTACCAATATGTATCACTCTCTCCTCCCAGCGGAGTACGGGAAACGGCCGAGTCCACTCCGAGACCCCTTGATTAAATACCAGTGCGTTTATCATAAAATGGCCTGCTTTCCCAGGTGGTCTCATCTCTCTTTTTACAATGGCACCTACTTACGAAGGAAAATATTGCAAAGGAAACAAAAACAAGGCTGACGTCGGTGCAGCCGAGACTGGCAAATTTTCCATGCACGGCATTACTCCTCGGCAGTCGGAAATAAGACACAGTGGTAAAAAAGAGGCGCGTCTCCAAACTTTACCTTGATGCGGTATCCTTCTGGAACAATTCGCGCATGCATCAGGGATGCGAGATGGTTGGCTGCGAACGATTGGGGAGGGGGGCAGGCGTCGCAGATCACCGACCATTCCGGGGATCACCCTGTAAAGCTTACAGCACAAGTTAGGGGTTTTGACTTTGAACCGATGCTATCCCATCGGGAAGGCCTCCGCGCGTTGCTGATGAACTGACTTTATCAGCGAGGCATTTTCCCAACTGATAAGTACTGTTTGGTCAGTGCATTTGGGATGAAACGTTGGAGAAGCGGAAATCGTCGGTATGATAGCAGACAGCGTATGTTTTTATTTGCTGGAATCTCCAAATTATATGCACAGACATCGAAGCAGTCAGTGACCCTTTGAAGAGCGGAACCGTTTCCGATAAACCGTAACGGCAACTCCGTAATCAACGGATGCCCTGCCGCGCTATCTCGCATATCTTAGGTAGTCGTCAATTCTCATCACCGTGCTCTGCCTGCTCTGTATGGTAATCTCGGAAGATGACTGCAGGGTCCGGCCTAGGTCCCGATGTTAGGTTGCGTGATGTCTATATCGCCTCTGAGCAATTCTTTATGTAAATGTGGTCTCACCACCAAAACACCACCAGATTCCAACGGAATGTTTTCTGTTTCTAGAAGCTCAAGAAAAGACTGGTGATTTTCAGTTCAGCTGCTGAACTGGTGATTATCACGAGGTTGGTCCGGTCGCGGCAATGGTACCGAGATCATGGTTGATACCTAATATACCCTCCTTGGCACACATGAAGCTTTCTTGGCGATATCCCACGTTGTTATCAACTGCACTTTGTAATGCAACGTATTGTTGGGGCTGATAATAATGGTCATAGCTTGGGGGAATCGCTCACGTAATGGATATCGTGTTCATGCATGATCTGTGCTGTGCGGAAGGGGGCGAAGCTGGTGGAGCTGAGCATGAGCTGAGGTATTTGTGTGATGACAGATTTCGATAACATTGGCTTTGTCCGATGAATCCGAGCTGCCTTTGAGAGAGTAGGCTTGTGATGGTATGTGCAGATAGCTAGCGGACAGTCTCGAATATGAAGAGTATGATGCAGTGATGGCTGAGTTCCTGTTCCTACTGCAGCAAAGGCACAGTAATCATCATACTGCAGGTTCTTAGACAAAGCGTCCATATTCTCATGAAACCGAACGAATCTACTGTCTATTTATCAAGTTTCTTTCCCCTCTGACGGTTTGTTTCGGCTCATCATCGTGACAGATGCATCGAAACTACCCAATACCCTATTCCTAATTTAATCCAAAGAGGCTCAAGGCATTTTCATCTCTCTTAACGTTAACCTAGAGGTCTAGACCAAGTCAATCGAAAAAGGCAAGTAATATACATTTGCCAAGCCGGCTGAGGAATCATGCCAATGCTGGAATCTGCCATCCATGAAAGTGTCAAGTGATAGATCCTGGGGGGTGTTCATCAGACCCTTTCTCCGCTCCCCGCACGTGTCAATTCTCCAGTTTCTTAGCATTCGCCAAGTTATCCACTTGCCTTTTTGCTATGTGTGGAGTTTACGACATGTTCGTTTGCTCAACGTGGAATCCGAATGAGTAAGCCACCGCGGTCAGATGCATGCCAAGTTCGGGCTTCAGCAGTAAGGTAAGGGAAAGATAATATTTGTGATTTGGGGTTCTAAATAGGTCAAGTGGCTATCTGATTTCATTCCACTTCCTGTTGCGCTGCGCCTGGGCCATCTCTTGGTAGGCTACTTGTTGATGGAGCGCACAAAGAGTACCTCACGATTGATGACTTTATCGTAAGGCGATATTGCTATTGCAGCCTAACGCGGGCTTCCAAGTACACGTTACAGTCATCTGGTAGAGATATTACATAAACGTCCATGTCAAAGTCATGGATAGCATCGGGCCTCGGATATCCGATGCAGGCAGACACGGAGCCTCAACATATACCGAGGTATGGTTGCAAACCTCTTTTTTATAAGTGCATTATAGTTAAGCATGGCGCAGGCCAATGAACCAAATGTTCTGTGGATCTGTTGAACACTCAATTCAAAATTATTACAAGTGTTTATGCTCATATCTAAATAAGCTTAAAATCCTCCTAACCTCAATTATAATGACCTTAACTTGTATTCGACAAATCATGGTACAATTATTATTCTGAAAGTTGAACCGAATCAACCCAAGCTTCAGAGCCCGCTATGCACATAAATCCCATATGGAGAGCCAAACCACCCTGATCAATCTGGCTTTGAGTATACGTACATGTATACGATATCTCCTGCCACTGATTGATAGTACCCGGCTGTGTTGTCGTCGAGTCCAAGATTGGTGATCGTGGGAGGACCAGCTGCTTCTGTAGTAGTGGTAACTTTAGAAGTTGTTGTGCTCTCGGTGGTAGTGAGGGTTGATACTGTAGTTGAGATAGATGCTGTAGCAGTGAGTTCTCGTGACGAGGTTGTTATGTCGACTCTACTTTCGGTAATGGTGGAGCTAATATCTACAGTTGATGAAGTTTCTGTGTCAAAAACGGCGTTGGTAGTAGCGTCTTGTGTAACTGTGGTCATCCCAGTGCTGCTCTCAATAACAGTGGAGCTTAGTTCCGTAGCTGAAATCATTGAAATTATAGTAGTAGGAGAGCCTTCTGTGGTGGTGGGTTACTCAGTACTACTCTCGGTGACCTCAGAGGTCAGTTCTCTGGTTGACAAGGTCTCTGTAGTTAGAACAGCGATAGTGGTAGTGCACTTCGAGAAGGTTGGTGTCTCTGTAGGGCTCAATGATAGCAGAGCTTAGTTCTGCCGTTGTGGTTGGCTCCATGTTGCTCTCGATAATAGAAGATGTCAGGGCTATACTTGGGTTACCGTTGTTAAAATAGCGGGAGCGGCAGTGGTAGTAGTAAGATCCTTTGACTTAGTTGACGTTTGCCTGGTGCTCTCAGACCGGTCAGTAGTAAAGGCCAAGTAATCAATAGAGGAAACCTGAGTCGTCGAGAGACTAATATCGGTAGTAGTTGTTGTCCTAGTGGAAGTGGACATATTCTCCACCGTGGTCAAAATATCAGTCGCCCTGGGTCTCGGTTTACATGGGCCGGCCTCAGTGTCTCCCACCAAGAGCGCTGCTAGAAAGCATTCATGATAGTCCTGGCAGTCATTTTCGACAGTTATCACCGCACTCAGAAGATGAAAGACAAGGAACAGCAACGGGTAAAAGAGTAAAATAATTAAGATCTAAGACAGAAATAACTCCTATTTATTATTAACACAAAGAAAAGTAAGCATCCTCGCTTGAAGAGCGTTCGGATCACATCATGTTGTGAATTTTCTCTGTAGGTGCTAAACTATTGGCAATAGTGTCAGCTTGGCGACAATAGTAGCACTGCTTTCCAAGGAAAATATCAGGAGCGCTTCAGCTGCCAATTCTCAGTTTGATTCGTATTGGCTCGCTTATATCTACAGAGGAAACCTTAGCATGCTTAAGAAAAGCTTCGAAAACTCTAAGATTAAACAAAGCCGGTTGAGTATTCCATCGGAGTTAGGTAAGTTTAACCTTGTCTTAACAATTAACGTCATATTCCGAAGCGGCAATAACTGCCGTATATAACACAGCTCTTTGAAGGATTTTCCTTGCTGTCAATAGACAGATTGTAATAGAGGCTTCAATTATACAGTGTAGCATCAGCACAATAGTTTTTCGAAACATTGAGACCCAATTGAAACCTAACTAGTTCTATAACCTCTAAGGATTGCCTAATCTTGCACCGTTGGCTGGTTGAGACACCATTTGCCTGAAGTAGTGTTACATTTTGATAGGCTTGGCACGGGCGTCTTCTCAAGCAGAAACTTGCATGTCTCTAGGGGTGATAATTGGCTGGTCTGATTTAACCAGCAACCCGATGACCACAACCATAGACTGCAAGGCTGTTGGTTTATTAAACACATTACTCTAACCACGGTGCATGCCTCAGCAAAGAGATATGAGCTTAAAGCTCTGAAGGTTGCGTATAGTCTAGTTGAAAAGGCTAAACAGGACCTGCTTCCATTATCTCGTAAACGTTTGAGTTTCATTCCAAATCTGTGTGGCGGCCCTTGAAAGGTCAAAAAGCTCAAGTCAAGTTTCGTGTCCTCGCCATGTTTGCTAGTATCATATGTTTTGAGCTTATGACCAGCAATCAGTAAAGTAGCCCGAGTATTGCACAAAACGAACAAAAAGCTGGAAAAGCAGATACTGCTTTATGCCTTTCTAGTCCAGCTTTAGTGACCCGAGAAGACATAAGTGACAAAGCCCCCGAAGCCCAATCGAATCGAATTCTTCACTCTGACAACCCGAGATTCTGGGCCAATTAGATAGCAAGACGCGAAATGCGGTAAAACTGATGGTGATTTGTTCTACCATTAACTACGATGTTATAGAGTCACGAAACTCGCCCCAAAGAATGCAGCGGGCCTGGCATGCGATGCACCTATTTATATACATGACTAAAACCTCCAGGGTTTGTGTTATTGTTATACGGTCAAATAGCCAACTCCTTCGCGATGCTTGAAAACACAGAGGTCGCTGTGCAGGGTGCTTTCGCACAGGCCGTAAGACGGAGATTCGATTGTGACGATCCCGTGTGCTTGGACCCAATTAGCAACTCTCGAACAGGAAGGACAGAACTCTGACTAACAAAGTGCCCTACCTTCATTTCTCTGCCTCTTTTTGACTTTGGTCTAACAGATTAGGCGTTGTGTGGCAGCTGATAGATACCCCACCAAAATACGGTTGGCAAGCATCTCCGCCCACGTCGTGGAGACTTACCTATTTTGACAAAACTATCATCTCGAGACTGATAGAGAACAACGCGGGGCATACCAATTGGTAAGGGAATGATAAAAAGAAGAAGCATATAATAGACAACAAGAAACAAGAGTTTATTATTAAAAACTTCATCTCACATCACTCAATTACTCACCTATCCAAGTGTCTCTCACAAATCAGACACAATGGCCCCCCAAGAACTCACAGGCATCCTAGTCGCCCTGATAACCCCCTTCAAACCCGACGGCACAGTCGATCTCCCCGCCCTCGACGCCCACATCCAGCGTCAAATCTCCGCCGGCGTGCACGGCCTAGTCCCCGGCGGCAGCACCGGTGAATTCACAGCCCTCACCCTGCAAGAGCGCAAAGATGTCCTCGACCAATGCGTCAAGTCAGCCGCTGGCCGCGTCCCCGTCGTCGCTGGCATCGGTGACCTCACCACTTCCGGCGTTGTAGAGCTCGCCAAGCACGCTGCTGAGGTTGGAGCCGCTGCTACTATGATTGTGCCGCCGTTCTATGATGCGCCTAATCTGAAGCAGTTGAGGGAGATGTTTGGGGAGATTTACAAGGAGAGTGGATTGCCCATTATGTACTACAACATCCCCAGTGCGAGCGGTGTCAGCCTATCACCTGCAGAGATCGCTGGTCTTTCAGATGTTGGCGTCAAGTATCTTAAGGATACTTCCGGAAATGCACCCGCTCTTACAGATCTTCTTTTCCACCATCACAACGACATCACTGCCCTCAACGGCTGGGACACCCTGACTTTCTATGGTCTCTGCGCCGGTGCCAAGGGCTCAGTCTGGGGAACTACCAACGTCCTCCCCGAACTTTCAGTGCAGCTTTGGAACGCTATCGCTGTTGATGGTGACTTGAAGAAGGGACGTGAGCTTTGGTCCAAGATCTTCCCTGTCTGCAAGTTCTTGGAAGCGCATCATTATGGCGCTGGTATCAAGACTGGTATGGAGTTGCAGGGCTGGAAGACGGGAGGTCTGCGAAAGCCGTTTGCTCTATTGGAGGATGATGAGACGGCTGAGCTTGCGCAGCTTCTTAAGGATGCGGGTGTCAAGTTGGCTTGAATGGACCTAGCTTTGCATTATGGAGTTTAATGATTAAAATAGTAAAATAGACAGGATGGCTTTATGAAAGTTCAAGAAGATAGCTGCAGATCTAAAAACCGAATCAGGCATCAATACCATATTCTAAGCTAGACTCTCCTGAACAAGACTCTGCCAACTCGTAGTCCAATCCCCAGACTGCTTCCTCCTCTCCCATATCAACGGCACTACAACCCCAGCCGGCCTATTCGTAAAATATACGCCCTTGTCATCCGTAACCCCCAAACACTTCAACGCTCGTTCCTGCAAATCCGGACTCACAGCTTCACAAGCCGCCACGAAAGCCGGCCATGCCAAACTCGTCGCGAAGTCCTGATCATCGATCAACTCACTCAAGCACGGCTCAAGATACTCCAGAGTCTTTCGGACAAGGTCTTGAAGGATCATGGCGTTCATGTCGTAGACTCTTCGGTAAAAGTATATCACCAACGCCTGGTGAATTGCGAGTGTCATGGAGCGGACTTGAGGATGGCGGACGAGATCTTCATCACCTGTTGGCATCTTGACGGGTTCTGTTGGATCGAGGGTTGAAGGCCAGGCCCAGATCCTGTTTTCAAGGGTTTTGGTATGTTTGGAGAGTGCTTCTGATATTGAAGGATTGCAGCGTGCAACAGTCTCAAGACGGTTCTTCTCATTAGACAACGAGACTGTTTGTGACAAGAGCGTCATAAGCGACTCGGGTATTCCATAGATAACTGGATAAAGAGTTTGAGTCCATCGACCTTGAACTTCGAGATGGATGTCATTGTATCCAAGCTCATCGGTCTTTTCCTGAGCGGGATCAAGACCCATGTTCAAACCCTCTTCGGTGATACGGAATGTTCGGAATTGCTCACGGCCTTGGATCTCTGAAGAGCTTTCGGGGAGAGGCTCGCTCCAGAGGGATATACTCTCTGCGATCACACGAAGATGAGTGTACATGTGGTGCAGAAGACGGGATTTGAAGGGGTTTTGGGCTTGGTTTGCTAGACCGCGCAGACGGATGAGGCGTTCTGCGTCGAGGAGGAATATACGGAATGCACGAGCTCCGTTGTGTAACTAAGCCTGTTAGTCGTTATTCGTCAGTGGGAGACAGGGGTCTTACTGAAGTCATCGCCATGGCGAGGATAGCCATCAAAAGTTCCTTGTAACTCGCCTGTCTCGGTCCAAACATCTCATGCTGCAATGCCTGCCGAAGATGGTTCTGCGCTCGCTCATGATTCTTCAACCCGATTTCTTTCCAATCCGCTGATAAAGAATTCGGTGCCTTTGACATGTGAAGTTGCAGTGCACTATGAGCAAGAAGAGTATAAAATATCGACGAGCGGGTGTGAGAAGCTTCATTCCATAGCGATAGCTCAGCAAATGTCTCAAGCGCGCAAGGAAGAAAGATAATCTCCCAAGGAGACTTGCGTTTTGCTTGCATTGTCGAGCGTTGGCCGGCGATGTGCTGTCTGTAGTGGCGAAGTAATGGCTCTGCTTCTTCTGGAAGGCCGGAGTGGCTTGTGATATTTCTTGGGTATGGGACGACTTCGTTCATTGGAACTTGTAGACTTGGGTCGATAGAATCTTCTTGCGCGGTAGTATCGTTGCCCATGACTTGGGATATGAAGCCCGGACTGAAGAGTGCTAACCCTTCAGCGCCCATTGGATCATCGACAAAGAAGTTTGCCATAGAATCATGCATGTTCATCTGATCACCCGCTGTCATCTCTTCAGGATTGATGTTGAAGTTTGCATCCAACGAGTGTGTAAAGATATCCAGGTCGTCTTCGGGCAATTGATCCGGCCAATCTGTTCGCTGAATCTCTTCAATGAAACCGTCGGTCTCAGCATACATGCTCGTCGATGTGTTATCAGTATTAGTATCCGGCGAGCACTCAATCGTATCCAATGTCAACTCCTTCGTTTCAACAGACTGAAAGACCCCAAAAGGACCTTTCATCAGCGCATCTCCAACATCACTCTTCTCACACGCAGAATCAATATCCGCCAATAACGCCAACGCCGTCCTCTTCCCCAAGCTCCCTTTTAACTCATCACTCATCAACCGTCTCTCGCTCTCTACATTCATCAGTCATCAGTCACCAAAACGGAACGGAGCACTTACCGGAGAATAGTGGATACCGATACTCCGAGCCCCGATGACTCTGTTGCAGGTCCGGACGAACAGCATCATCCCTGATCCAAAACAGCCGCGCTCCGTAGCCTCCACACGCAAGCCCCAGTCGTTTACAGGTCCCACATTCAGGCTGAGCCTCGTCGCATTTTGCGTGGCGCGAACGACATGTTCGACAACCTGTGAAAGTCCGTGTTCGCTCGACTTTTTTGGGCATCTTAGATAGGAAAGTGGAGAAGCAGGACAAGATGAGATGAGGGAAAAATTGGATTGATTTTGTTTTGGGTTGACTGCTTCTTCTGACGAGGGAGATCGATCCCGGGGGAGGGAGGTTGTGTTATTGTGCTGTTGATGAGATGGCGAAAAGGGAATGTTTCCGCGGGGTGGGGTAGCCGCTTATCGGAGTGGCCGTGGCGAGGGACATTTGGAGGTTAGCTTGAGCCAGTCAAGGTAGCCCTTTGGAGACTCTGAAGTCTTCTCGAGTCTATGCCTTTGTGGGAGAAAATAGCCCAAGGGCAATCGCTCATGTTTGACTGGCTGATTACTAGTCCTTTCTGATAACCGTAACACTTTGGAGGGCAGAGGTATGTCTATGTTAACGCGCTGGCGTGCAAGGCGCCGATCCGAGTACTGTCATATCAGCAGCTCAATTTCTTTGCACGGCTACTTCCACCCCATAATATGATCTATTATACGTGCTGTAGGAGAGGAGTATAAACAATCATTCCCTCAGTCTGAAAGGGGACAAGATCCCAAGATCAAGCTTTAAGACAAATGCTGATAATGGCAAGCCGACAGGGAGAACTACTGACATCAACACTAGAGAATTAATCTATCTGTTCTTGACCAGTAATCCAAGCTATTCCTTCCCAACCATAGTGTCTTAAAATCCTTTAGATCTGATACTGTACATAGCTAAGTCAGCTTCCAATTTCATCATCATATCGAAGTTCTCCAGCATCCCTCCAATTGTTGAAAAGTTTCGCTTGGTCTGGAGCTTTTGCGTACTGGCTGATTTCGCCATGTAACAAGCGCGCTTTGAAGAGCGTCTTCGCCCTATCTGTGACCATAAAACAAAAGTAGCGAACTACAGTTGTAGATAGAGTTCCAGAGCAGTATCGCAGGCAACTATATAGTCGATTGCTGCCTACCAGGTTAGACTTTAGGCTGCCAACACAGGTGAGAAGGACATGATAGTCTTCTTTAAAACAGATGCTTCTACCTACGAAGCTTCCACGATGAATAATTAGTCTCAGTGTCGTAGGTATGGCCGATTGCGAGCCTGGAAAATAGATCGGGATCTCGACGTCTTGAACCAGCCTTACTTGTTGCGACGAACCAGGAAAGGATATCCTCTGATACTCAATGTAAAGAGTTCTGCAACCTCTCAAAAAGCTCTTGGTTAAGCACCAACCGAGACTCTCAAAGAAACTCATTGTTGCCGTTGACGTACGCTCAACCGCTGGCTGAAAACACAGGTGATAAATGAGAACACGATAATTATTTTCCCAATACAAGCTTTTATCTAGAAACTTCCACGATGACCAATAATTCTTGCTTCAACTGGTCAAACAATGAATAGAGAATGTCGCTAAACTGGGCAAGCGTCTGCTCAACGTTTACAACAAGAACCCCGAGAGATCTAATTTCGAATTCCAGTTGCAACCGCATCAGTTGCTTCTATTGCTTCCTTCCATGCCATTTGACGGAAGGTCTGAGCCACTGCTGTAGTCGGAAAGATACTGATGCTTTCCGGTGGGTGTTCCAACAAAACAGACAATGTCACACTTCGCTTGAGTGTTGCAGCAGAGGCTCAGACCCGAGTTGCGCAATCGTGCAGGATGGGTTCTTTAAACTATATAACGTGGTGAAAGCCTCTTATGCTAAATGCAATATGCCTCCTTCGACACCGAAGACCTCAATCCCAAGGCTGCAAAGTCAAGCTGCTACACCAGCAGCATCGGAAAACAGTATAACCCGAGAGTATGTGCCTCTGACCAAGCATAGCCTCTTTGCTTTTCTCATCAGCATCACTCAACCCACGAATACATGCAGGTGATCTCCAAGCAGTCAGACGATAGCCGAACTGTGAGCGAATAATTTCCAAACCCCCATTTCGTAGGGCCAAGTAAGGTACTTGAGATCTGTCCTAGAAATTTTCAACATAAGCGAATGATATGAGTTCATCCCAAATACTTTGTTAGAGTCTCTGGACCCATTTTGGATATCTTCCTCCTGAAGATTCAACCCTCTGTTCTGAAAGTGCAATAAGTGGCGAATACTCGGTAGGACTACCTTTCATAAACCATCTCCTTCAGTCTGTATCCTACCCTTATATTCCAAAACCACTTTACATATCATCGGCGAAGAGTGGTGCAGTGGTATCTACCTATAACCTATAACGCTCCTACAAATCCGAACCTAAAATCCTAAAAATCTCTTCCCTGCGCCACTCTTCGTTTTTGCAGGTCGTGCGTTCGAATTCACGTTCATCTATATGTCTCTCCAAACCTCAGAATGTTCTTCTATATATTTCACTGCATCCTTTTTACTTCTCATGCAGTTGGTAGTTGGTGATACGGCCAGCGACGGGTTCATCTCCACTTTGCGATGCCGCATTCCTCATCTGGAGTCGCAATTGGCGATGGATCCTCTGCAAGGCACTAAAAAGGCAAGTCTCCGCGAGCACTGCATTTGACCTCATTTATAACATCATTCATTATTCAAGTGGCTGATAAATGCATGTGCATGCAAATAAAACCAAGTAATCCATGCGCCATTATCGCCGCAGTGTCGTAATTTAGTGATGCACAGCTTAATAATATTCGTGACACAGCATACATCGATAAAACCCCATCCCCATAGCTGCAGCACCTCCATTCAGCACAGCACTCCCAACACCACGTAAACGCACGCACAATGACCTCAATCTTTCTGTAATACCCCAAATCTATTGATATTCCGCTTACTAACCCTCCCAGCACCGGCGCATCGGGCTACGTAGGCGGCCAGCTCCTCCACGAGCTCACACAAGCTCATCCCGAGTACACCATCGCGACGCTCGTGCGCGACGCCAACGCAGCTGAGACCATTGCAAAGGCGTATCCGAGAGTGCGCACTGTGGTGGGTGACCTAGATGACAGCGCGCTCGTGGAACAGGAGGCTTCACAAGCTTTGGTGGTACTGAGTCAGTGTCATGTTTCATGATGTTTTGGTGGTGTGGTGTTGCTGACGGGGGTAAACTTAGATGTTGCGTCGAATAAGCATATTGGGTCGTTGCAGGCGATTCATCGGGGATTGGCGAAGAGAGGAAATGGTAAGTTACATGAAATGAATGAGAATGAATTGGAATGAGTTAACGATGGGTAGGTTATCTGATTCAAATTTCTGGGGCGAGTTTGTTGCCTGTCAAGGACTTATCTTCACCGTCCTTCAAACCTGGTGAACCATCCAGCGAAGTCTGGGATGATCTCGATGGCGTCTCTTCCATTCTTGACCTCATCCGCAGCCACGACTCTCGCGTGGTAGACAACTACATTCTCAAGATTGCAAAAGAGACGCCTTCTGTTAAAACCGCCCTCGTTCTCCCTCCCATTATTTACGGCAAAGGTCAAGGCCCTGTCAAGCAGCGCAGCGTTCAAATCCCCGCACTCTCAAAAGTCGCGATTGAGCGAGGCCATGCCGTCAGAGCGGGTCGCGGCTTAGCAGCCTGGACAAACGTCCACGTCGCTGATCTCGCAAGACTATTTACAATTCTAGCTGAGAAGGGCGCAGAGGGGAGTGAGGATGAGAATGTCTGGGGCGAGAAGGGGATCTATCTTCCTGGTGTAGGCGAGCTGGTAAGTCGAGTACCGTCACTTCACTCAATTGATGAAGCTAACTGTTTAGACATGGGCCGACATTTCGGATAGAGTCGCCAAAGCAGCAAAGGACCAGGGCCTCATTGATACGCTTGACGTTGAAGAACTGTACAAACCAGAAGTCGACACTGCACTCCCCGCTGGTTCAGTATTCTTCGGCAGCAATGCCCGAAGCAAGCCCCGTCGCGCCACTGAAGTGTTGGGCTGGAAGCCGAAGGAGACAGGCCTTGATGACGAGATTCCTCGGGCTGTGGCTGAAGAGGCAGAGGCTCGAAAGTGAATGTAAACTAGTCTAGAATGAGATAATTGATAGACAACGAGAACATTATCTTATCTTGAGTCATATTGAACGTTGTGAGGTGTCGCTTGAGATTGGATGTAATTCTTTGCCCAGTGTGAGCAGGTCGATGGAGATTGCGGGGTTGTAGGCTTCACTTCCCTATCTCGGTAGTGGAGATGATGGCGCGGGGGAGTTAAAAAGAGAAGGTCTGCGCGATCAAGACGACGGAAACAATCGCCATTCTCATCAGTCTGTATATCAAGTTGAATTGAGAGTCAGCCAGTTATCATACTACCTATAATAGATATCTCAGGTCAAGTACAAGAGGCCCTCTCTCAAGGTTGAACACTATTGTCCGCCCATCAACACCAACCAGCTCATCTCATCACTTTCTACTGATCAAAATGGCTGCTTCAATTGAACTCACAGCTCCCAACGGAGTGAAATGGTCTCAGCCAACCGGCCTCTTCATCAACAACGAATTCGTCCCCTCATCAAGCAACAAAACCCTCACATCAATCGACCCCGCGTAAGTCCCCCTACCCCTCTGTACCTCACCCATTTACCCCACTAACACGCCCCAGCACCGAACAAGAAATCGCAACAGTGCAATCCGCAGATTCTCAAGACATCGACAGAGCCGTCAAAGCAGCCAAGGCCGCGCTGCGCCATGAATCATGGAGAGATCTCCCCGCCTCAGACAGAGGACAACTCATGGCCCGTCTCGCTGATCTGATTGAGTCCAAGCGCGAACTCTTTGCCACGATTGACGCGTGGGATAATGGCAAGACGTACATTGAGACGCTGGAGAATGATCTCGTTGAGGCTGTGGGCGTTATTCGCTATTACTCCGGCTGGGCTGATAAGACGTTCGGTCAGACGATCAACACGACGCCCAAGAAGTTTGCGTATACAATTCGTCAGCCGATTGGTGTTGTCGCGCAGATCATCCCGTGGAATTATCCTCTGTCTATGGCGACGTGGAAGCTGGGCCCCGCGTTGGCTTGTGGAAATACAGTTGTTATCAAAGCAGCGGAACAAACGCCCCTAAGTCTTCTGGTCCTGGGAGAACTCATCAAGGAAGCTGGTTTTCCGCCTGGCGTCGTCAATATCGTCAATGGTCTCGGCAAGGATACAGGCGCAGCTTTGGTGCAGCATCCATTAGTTGACAAGATTGCTTTTACGGGGTCAACAGCCACAGCAGCCAGCATCATGGGCGTCGCAGCAAAGACACTCAAAAACATAACCCTTGAGACGGGCGGGAAATCTCCGTTGATTGTGTTTGACGATGCTGAGCTTGACCAGGCTGTCAAGTGGTCGCACTTCGGCATCATGTCGAACCAAGGGCAGATCTGCACGGCGACGTCGCGAATTCTCGTGCAAGAGACTATATACGAGAAGTTCATCAAGGAATTTATCGATACACTCAACACGGTTAGCAAAGTTGGTAATCAGTGGGACAAGGAAACGTACCAAGGGCCGCAGGTGTCCAAGGTTCAGTACGAGAGAATCCTAGAGTACATCGACATTGGCAAGAAAGAGGGCGCCACAGTCGCAGCAGGCGGTCACCCTCTAAAAGTCGGAGACTCAGACAAAGGGTTTTACATTTCTCCCACTGTCTTCACAAACGTCAAGCCCTCTATGCGAGTGTTCCGCGAGGAAATCTTTGGCCCGGTTGTTGTCATTTCTACCTTCAAGACGGAGGAGGAGGCGATTGAGTTGGCGAACGATACGACTTATGGACTTGGCGCTGCTGCTTTCACGACGAATTTGGAGAAGGCCCATCGCGTTGCGGCTGCGATTGAGGCGGGAATGGTCTGGATCAACAGTTCCCAGGATTGTGACCCTCGTGTGCCGTTTGGTGGTGTGAAGCAGAGCGGCATTGGGAGGGAGCTTGGTGAGGCGGGATTGGAGGCGTATACGCAGATTAAGTCTGTTCATGTCAACATGGGAAACAGGCTGTAGATGATTGCATTTAAAATAAATACCTAGGTTTATGTCATGTCATTTTAACATCTCGCGCGCACTCAATTGAGGCACTTAGAATTGGGACCATGATGCTTCAAAACTCATCTGTATTATCGCCAACAAATAGATTGACAAAGAAAATGTAAGTAGTGGTAGTACTATACCAGTGGGATATGAACAAAAAAGAAGAAGAAAAGAAAATGCCAAAGGTAAACAAGAGGATATATATAAAAAGGACACAAGACCAGGCAACCCATCCAATCCAATCCAGTCCAGTCCAGTCCAGTCCAGTCCAATTCCCATAAAGCAATCTCGCAGACTCCATCCCAATCCCAAGCATTCATCATCTTACACTGACCAATAAATTAAGCAGATTTTGTAATGGCATACTCCTTCAGAATCTGGACTGCCTCCTCCCAGCCTCGCGAAGCAGCAATCTCAGTGACACTTCGGTCAAGCTCATCCTTCACATCAAGATCGAACCCAGCCTTCTCACCCAAAAGACGAAGGATATCCTCGTCGCCGTTCTCAACAGCCTGCATGACACCGCTCCACCCACGGTACACCTTGTTGGGGTCAGCGCCGTGCTCGAGCAGAAACTCGAGCATCTCGGAGTCGCCGCGATATCGGCGCAGGGCCTTGACGACGGGGAGATGCTCGCCGGGCGCGTTGATGTCGGCGCCGCCCTCGTTGATGAGGAACCACACGATGTCCTTGCGGTCTTCGCGGATCGCGGATGTGAGGGGTGAGAAGACACCGCCGTTCTTGTCCTCGACTGACACACCGGCTGCGAGGAGGAGCTTGACTGACTCGAGCTGGTTGGCGACGACGGCCATCTCCATGACGCCCTTGAAGGCGCGGGGCTCGGCGAGCACGGAGAGGATGCGCTTGAGCACGGGGGGATTACGGACGGCCATGCACACGGGCCAGTCCTGACCGCGAACATTGGGATCAGCACCGTGGCTGAGCAAAAAGTCCACCATCTCGAACCTGTTCTCGCGAATAGCAGTCGTCAACGGCGAGTGACCCTTGGGGTTCTTATCGTTAGGATTCATTCCCTTCTCCAGCAGCCATACGAGCGCCTCCATGTTGTTAACACCAACGGCGGTCTCGACAATGCCCTTGGGAGAGCTGAGGTTCACGCCGGCGTCGACAAGGGGGGGGAGGAATTTAAGACGGTTGTGCGTGATGCACTTGAAGGCGGGATACTCGCTGGCAGGGACGTTGGGGTCCGCCTTGTTGGCGAGGAGGAGGTGGAAGATGTCAGGACGGTTGTCGCGGATGGATGTGCAGAGGGGTGTGTAGACGCCATCCTTCTTCTGGTTGGGGTCGACCTTTGCGTTGAGGAGGACCTTGACTGACTCGATGTTGTTGACGCTGACGGCAAGCTCCATGATACCGGGTGCCTTCTTGGGGTCAGCGCCGTGCTCCAGTAAGACTTGGAGACAGGCGCTCTGATAGGTGGCGGGCCAGAGCATGTGCTTGGGACCAGGCAAGTTGGGGTTTGCGCCATGGTCGAGAAGACTGTTGACGATGTCGACGCGCGAGTTCTGAATGGCCTCGAAGAGAGCAGTCTTTCCCTCGCGACTCTTCAGATCGGGGTCAGCGCCGTAGTCGAGGATGAGATCGATGAACTTCTTGGGCGTCTTCTTGTTGATCGCGCTGCTGAGAAGCGTCTCGCCAGTAGCGGTCAATTGATTAGGGTCACCGCCGTAGATGAGAAGCAGGTGAGCAAAGTTGACCTTGTTGGCGATACAAGCAGCAGCGAGGGCAGTCTCGTTATCCTCACCCATAGCGAAGCGAGGATCAGCGCCGTACTTGAGGAGGGGAACGGCACCAGCGAGGAAAGACTTCTCCACGGCGGCGAAGAGCGGCGTTACACCATCGCGATCGGTGCCGTTGGGATCGGCGCCAAAGAGGAGGAGGAGACGAACAGCCTCGGCGTCACTGTTGAGAACAGCTTCCTTAAGAGCGAGGTGGTCAGCACCAGTATTGGGGGATACACCACGGTCCAAGAGCTGTTCAATAAGTTTGTGGTTCTTGCCGCGCACGGCGGTGAGGAGAGCGGACTTGAGGTTGGCTGCATCGGCGCCGACGGTGTTTCTCGGGTTCCAGCGGGGCATGCTGAAGGGATCGGCCTTGAGTCGCACGACCTTTGTGCCACCGTTGAGATCAAGACCCGAGAGCTCCTCGAGAGATATTTCACTATCTGACACGGCGGTGTGCTGCGACCGTGTCTCGTGATGTTCATCAAAGGTGCTCATGCGGTCGAAGGTACCGGTAGTACCAGAGTGGTAACGCTCATTAGAGGCGATTGAACTGGCAGTGTTGTGATGGTGACCGGTAAATGAACGAGCATCTGCGTGTTGCAGTGAAGCAGCAAGGGTGTCATCGCGCACAGACGACGATCGCTCCGCCCAGGGAAGGGGAGGCAATGGGGGTTGAGAACCCATCGACACGGCGCTATGTCCTTCTACACCACGATATTGCGACGCAGAAGAAGGTATGTACTGCGAACCACCGTGATTCGAACCACCGTGATCAGAGAGCTTTGATCTCGGCGCCATGCCAGCACGGGTATCCATGCGGTCGAGGGCGGCAGCGAGGCCAGTGTAGCCGATACCGAGCTCATTCTCAATCTTCTCATTACCCAGACTCCACTGAAACATGAGCGCACTCATACGCAGACTCTCGCGTGTGCGTCCAAGGGCGCTGATCATCTTCTCGATGTCGTTGTCGCCAAAGATGCGGCCCCAGCCACGACGCATGCGGCCCATGGCGCCCTTGCGCTCGTTCTCGAGGAACTTGCCGAGCATCTGGTCCAGCAGCTGGAAGTCGGCCTGCGTCACGCGGAACTTCTTGCTCAGCTCTGAGATGACGTCGCCGGGGAAGGTCTGCTGGTTGCGGATGCACTCGCCGAGCCCGGCCTCAATGGAGAAGAGGATTTCGCACGTGTCGAGGAAGTCGTGGGCGAGGGTGTCGAGGCCGTGCGGCTGCTTGGTCACCATGGTGAGGTACTCGAGCATGCGCAC